GTATATATTTTTTATATTAATATTAATATTCCCACACATGACTTTTTCTTTTTGACATTTTTGTAATGTTTGTATATTCAAGTCTCGTGAAAAACTGCTCTTTTGTTTCCAAGGCATACTATATTTGTTTACTGTTCGAGTCGTCCAAACTTCAGACATAACCAATTGACATTTCATACTGATCACTGCTTAAGTTCGAACTGTTCGAACTGTCCGAAATATTCGAATTAGCTTATTTTTTCAACTTTGAACTATTCGAATAGATCGAACATTCAACATGTTCGAATCTTTTGTTTGAGCCCTAGAATAGAATGTATTTATTGTACAAAATTGTTAATTAATGTTTATTTTCTATAAATAAGGCTTTTTTATAACAAATTTCCTTGTACGAATATACTTTTTGCTCTCATTATATATAAAAATTTCAAGCATAATGAGCATTGCTGCAAAAAGATATTCTAGCAACAAGTTTGAGCATTTTACATAATTATTTGAATAGTCCTACATAGTTATTTTCATGATTCAACAAAATTATTTTCACATCTGTATGTAGCTATAAATTTTTAGAAATTTCAGCAAAACCTTTCTGTGGAGCAATAGATCATTTGAAAATAAAGCAAACATTTTAGAAGATTGTACAATGATTGGTACTATCAGGTTTTAAGGGGTTATGCCTACCTGTAAATTAAAAAAAAAATCGATTTTTGGATTTTGATATTTTCTTAAAGTACATATTTTCAAAAATATTCCCTGTAAATTTCAAGTCGATTCGACAAAAATTGACGAAGTTATGTGAAGTTAAAGGTATACTGGTTTGAACGTTTGAAGCAGGTATTTTACGTGAAACTGCGTATTTTTTTTTTTAATTTTGTGCAGTCAGTAAACTATTGAGGGAAAATGTAGGGGATTTTATTCTAACTGTTAGGGGTTTTTGAGGGATTCTAAGATATGTTTTAGGAAACACCTTTCAAACTCACTTGGCAAACTTCAAACGCATTTTTCTCAAAACCGCATTTTTAAAATCGGTGACCAAAAAAATATCTCGAGAACCGCTGCATCGATCAAAATGAAATTTGGTAGGCTTCTTTAATACTAAAAAAATCTAGTGTCCGATCGTGGCTTTTTTTTTTCGTTGCGTATTTTTTTTTATTGATAAAAAAACGATCGAACTTTGGTAGAAGAATCGTACCTTCGAATTTGAGCAGCCGCCATTTTGTCGCAAATTAATTTTTCAAAAAAATGAATAATCGGGCACTAGATAATCTTATATATTAACTAAATTTGTTGGGTTTTTTGATTTGAGATAAACCAGCTCAAAGCTAGAGCGGCCATCGCAAAACGCTTCTAGGAAAACTGCTTCTGGGAGATTACTCACATCTTCCTTATTTATCAATATTTTGTAATAAAAAAAATACTGAATTATCCTCGAAATACATATATTTGAAAACATAAACGTTTATTTCAAAAGCATTTCAAGTTTTTTCAAAAAAATTCTCAAAAATATGTGTTTTTCCGACCATGCAGGTAGGCATAACCCCTTAAATTACAAGTGAAAAAACTTTAACCTCCCTGTATCAATTGCCGTAAGGCAGAAGTTTTTGCATTCGGCGGTATAGAATCTGTATTCCAAACAAGACATTTTAAAACTTAAGTGTACTTTTATAACTGTAGTTGAAAATTAAGTATTATATTTATGATTTATGTTATCGTGTGTTTATATTACTATTAATAATGCAAATTTTCTTTTAGTAATACTTTATTTAATAATACTATTTTAGTATTTTACTAAATTTTAATAACTTTGTCTTTAAGTTAAATTATTTTCATTACTTTTGTTGAAATGTCATTGTGACAATGCTTTCCATGATGAATCGAAAGTTTGCACATCGACTACTTCCTTTTTATTGTGCCAAGTTGCCGCAATAGGAAAAACGTAAGCAAGAGATTTTATTGCTGTATGCACAGGAAACGTGGAAATACTTCACGACGGGAAGTGGGGCAGTATATGCGACGACGAATGGGACGACTTTGAGGCCAGTGTGGTTTGCAAGCAATTAGGCTATAACGGTGCAATTAAAGCAACGACATACGGCCACTTTGGTCAGGCTAGAAGTGAGATGAGATATTTATTGTCTTTTTATTTTAAACCACTGTCTTTCACGGTAGAGCGCAACAGTTGCGTGTATGGTCGAGACAAGCAAGATCATCTATAATAAGTCATTCGTTTATTTCAATTTATCGACAAACACGCGTCATATTTTTAGTGTATGGCGTTAAATGTTATCTCTGAAAAACTATAATAATATCATATAGATATTATATTTCCAATTTTATTTTACAATTTATTTTATTTCACTCTGTTATTTGTTCAAGCATGTGCAATGTTATTTTATCGGTCAACGCGTTTAATTAAAATATGAAATACAAGCGTGCAATTTTTTACATAAAAAATATTTCGAAGGAAGATACTGGATGGATAACGTTTATTGCGATGGATCCGAGATCGAACTCGCGAAATGCCGTTTCGACGGATGGGGCATTTCCGACTGCGGTAGTAATGAAGCTGCCGGCGTCATTTGCTCGCGCGATGAGGAAACGAGAGCATCGCCACCAATTTCGCAAGAAAAGCCAGTAAAGACCAGAATAAAGAATACATATCAGCAAGGCACGGCTCTACGATTATCCGGAGGACGCGTACATTCCGAAGGTCGAGTGGAAATTAAATTAGGCAGTACAGGTAACAAAACAATTTACTCCGAGGATTATAATTAATCATAATTATATGTGTAGAACTATACAAAATTAAACTAATTTTAATTATAATTTAAAGCAGGAACTTTAACTTTGTCTAAAGAATCACTAAAAACGTGAGTTATAATAAATATTGAAAAACCAAAATAATTAATATGAATATATATTAGATACACGTGTTTTTTTTTGTAAATAACAATATTTTATCATGTTTTTAATCGCTCTATTAAATCGTCAAAATAAAACAAAAAGGTAAAAATATATTCGAATTTAAATCCCGGTTATATAAGTATTTAAATTTTAAATATATATACTAGCGAGAAAATTGTAATATGTTTGAATTCACCAGATGTATACCAAATTCGCGTGGCCACTCAATTTCAGATTGGGGTGTCATCTGCGGCGACAGTTGGTCCATTCTCGAAGCCGCCGTGGTTTGCCGTCAATTGGGCCTCGGTTACGCTTCTGACGCAGTACAGACTAATTTCTTCGGCAATGGGGAAATCATCCCGATATCAATTAGCGGGGTACAGTGCAATGGGAATGAGGGAAATCTGGCAGAATGTCTACATGACAAGGTTGCAGATTGTCTAGGTACTTCTGACATCCTCGATGAGATATGTATTTATAAAATATTATCAGAGTAATATTTATGTAACAAATAATGCGGTATTATCACATGATTTTAATTATCTTATTTATAGAATAATCTTTGCAAAAATATTGATAGAGAAAGATTTTTCCTCCAATTATATTTTTACTCTCTCTGTCCAGTCCAAGTCTTTTACTTTTCTAAGCTTCTAAAAAGTGTGGAAAAATTCAGAGATTTTTTCATTATTTTTCGACATCTTTATTATATTACTAAATAGTTTTTTTTTAACAAAATATGTTGGGAGAAGAAATCAGATTTCGCCCTCTTTTATTTCAGAAAAATTTCAAGATGAAAGGACTATGTCCAGTTTGGGCCAACAGCGGTTGAACAGCATTGAGACCTAGCTAGGATTGTAGAGCATAAAAAAAGGATTAAAAAGTTCTATATGCACAACTTTGTAAAATAAGTCCCTTGAATGCTATAGCTGTTCAAAGTTCGCTATTATGACTATGTATTGTGTACCATGTACCAGGTATGTAAATATGAAACCGGAATTTACCAATATATAGATGACCATAGCTGTCAATGTAGTTGCCGTCAGACCGCGTCATTGACGCCATTTCCTTGTTCTGACATCTGACAAAGATTTTCAACTCACAACAATACAACTCACAACAACACAACAGTATAGTTTGTAATAGCGTTGAACATGTCGAATTTTGTGCCTGGAAACTACGATTTGCGGACAGCATCGATTTTCTGTTATCATTTGAAGAAAACTGCTGCAGAATCGCATCGAATGCTTGTCGAAGCTTACGGTGAGCATGCTCTTGGTAAATCACAGTGCTCTGAGTGGTTTAAAGAATTCAAAAGTGGCGATTTCGACGTGAGAAACGAAGAACGTGGAAAACCACCGAAAAAGTTTGAAGACAGCGAATTGCAAGCATTGTTAGATGAGGATGACGCTTAAACTCAACAACAACTCGCGGATCAATTGAATATGACACATGAAGCCATCTCCATACATTTGAAATCCATGGGAAAGATCCAGAAGATGAGAAAATAGGTTCCACATGAACTGAATGAAAGACAGCAGGAAAACCGAAAAACCACTTGAGCGAAATGCTGCTCGCCAGATACAAAAGAAAGTCATTTCTCCGTCGAATTGTGACTGGCGATGAAAAGTGGATACATTTTGAGAATCCTAAGCGTAAAAGATCATGGGTATCTCCAGGCGAACCATCGACATCGACTGCAAGGCCAAATCGCTATGGACGGAAGACAATGCTCTGTGTTTGTGGGATCAGAAAGGTGTGATCTATTATGAGCTGCTAAAACCTGGCGAAACCGCTAATACTGAACGCTACCGACAACAAATGATCAATTTGAATCAAGCTTTGCGTGAAAAACGACCGGAATATCAAAAAAGACAACAAAAGTGATTTTGCTTCATGATAATGTACCATCACACACAGCAAAACTGGTCAAGGAAACGATTGAGACGTTTGGTTGGGAAATACTTTCGCATGCGGC